CAAATATACAGCAGCAGTCGTCAGGTCGGGGTCGAACCGACGACCTCCTGTACGCCGGGCGAGGTAGTCAACATTTAGTCAGCGCAGCGCCGCAGAAACCAACACTGGCAGTGCCCCCCAGGGCACGCCCCACAACGACGTGGTTCGTTCGTTTGTGTTGTTGTGCGGCACGTGACAGATGAACGTCGTAAAATAATGAAAACTGCGTAAATACTAGAATCTGCCATTGTAAGAGGAGCTTTCAGCTGCGTCTTGGCCATTGTGCGTCTTGGGGCACCTCGCAGGGAGGCCTGCCCTTGAAGAGACAAAAGGCGCCGCACGGGGCGCGTTCGGTGCACCTCCTCCGCCGCTTCCTGTTGCGGGCAGCGCTTAATGACTCGTGATTCCCTGGGCCAAAGGGGAGGTCTGCGATGCGGTGTGCACAGCGCACGCTGCAGGAAGAAAGGAAGCTCCCCACCCCATTGCCCCCCCCCCCCCCCCAGAGGTGGTTAAACAATCAAGATTCCACGGTGAATCCCGACCAGGGAGCGAGCATGCGTGCCCGGGCATGCCACCGCCCTGCCCCCCCCCCCCCCGCGCATCCTTGCGGGACAAGTTCCCGATGAGCCCGCTGCGCGAAACGTAATTATTTATCCTGTGTTCACAGGAATGTGTGTGTCCGCGCGTGTGTGTGTGTGTGTGTCCGCGTGTGTGTGTCCGTGTGAACATTTCGAGTTGCTTTTCTGGTAGAGGGTTACAGGAGAAAAAAAAATCCCCCCCCCCCCAAAAAAAAATGTAGAGTGAGAAAGATTGTTCTGACGGCAGATGAAACGTCGTTACTCAGTGAAACATCACACAACATGCGGCAAGCATCTCCTGCCTGGCGATTAATGCAGTCAAAGCCAGCGCGCCTCACTGACAATGTAGCGGTCACAATACACTGCTGGCGATGTTTACTGTAAATAGCATCGTGAATGTGTTTATATTGGGAAGATGGCTTCAATCTTAAAATGCACGAGGAATGTGCCAGAAGTGTCTATCGGAGTGTCTCTACTGACCACCACGCGGACAGGAGACACGCGTGGCTGACAAGTGCCACCGGGCCCCGGGAGGGCCCCCTTCTCGCCGTGAGCCGCGTGCGCGGTGGCCGATGGCACCACCACCACCTCCTCCTCCTCCTCCTCCATCACCACCACCACCACTACCTCCTCCTCATCCTCCATCACCACCACCACCACCACCTCCTCCTCATCCTCCTCCTCCATCACCACCACCACCACCACCTCCACCACCTCCTCATCCTCCTCCTCCACCACCACCACCTTCTCCTCCTCCATCACCACCACCACCTCCTCATCCTCCTCCATCACCACCACCACCTCCTCCTCATCCTCCTCCATCACCACCACCACCACCACCACCACCACCACCACCTCCTCCTCCTCCTCCTCCTCCATCACCACCACCTCCTCCTCATCCTCCATCACCATCACCTCCTCCTCATCCTCCTCCACCACCACCACCACCACTACCTCCTCCTCATCCTCCTCCATCACCACCACCACCACCACCTTCTCCTCCTCCTCCATCACCACCACCTCCTCCTCATCCTCCTCCATCACCACCACCTCCTCATCCTCCTCCATCACCACCTCCTCCTCATCCTTCTCCTCCTCCTCCTCCTCCTCCTCCTCCTCCATCACCACCTCCTTATCCTCATCCTCCTCATCCTCCTCCTCCACCACACAGAGACCCCCAGTAGTGCGGGCTCCACTTGATGGAAACGTGTTCGCCCCATTCATGGCAAAACATGTACAGATCTCCACATGGAACTTTTAGCTTTTGAAAATGAAAAGAAACTTAAAGCAAAAAAACACAGATATTTTTTTTTTCTGAAACGGAAAAAACCCAATACCTTTTTGTGTTTTTAACATCCTTAAAAAAAGCAATTAAGATCAAATCACAGTGGGCTTTGGGGGCTGTGCTTTTATCAACACCTCTCCCTCCCACCCCTCTCGCTGCTGTTCCCGCCTCACGACGAGATGGGGCCGTGTCCCCACAGCCAACGCAGCCCCCGGCGCTGCTGCTGCTGCCCCCGACTTCACCAACAGCATCGCAGGGCGTACACGATGTGGGTGAATAGTAACTGTGTGGGGAACGGTGGTGCAGTAGCGGTGAGCGCGCTGCGCTACGAACCCGGTGACCCGGGTTCGATTCCCGCTCACCGCCAACACCGGTGACGATTATCTGAACCGGTCCTGGGCCTCCCCCCCAAGGTCGACTCGGCCTCAAATGAGTACCTGGTGCGGTGTGTAAATATCGCCACTGGGGAGACAAAGGCGGCCGGGGATAGTGCTGTCCACCCATCCTCTCGTGTGCCGTGCCGGCCTTCATTGTTGCTCGCTAACAACACTTGCCCCAACAGTCTGTTATGGTTATATGGGGGATCTTTGTCTTTTAAAAAGTTAAATTGCTTCATTGGCTAGGGTTCACAGGGCCAAACTAAGGCTGTGTTCTTAGTCAGAGTTCGGCTCAGGCTTGGTAATGGCTCAAGCGAGCTGGTTCAGAGCCACCTGAACTGCACCACAACTCGTAACGCCACTGGCGTACAGAATTCACTCTCGAAGAGGGAGGACGACTCAAAGGAACGACGCGCGAGGAGTGACCACGGGCAAGCGGGAAGGCATCCGCGCGGTGAGCCGGCGTCAACAGTTTTTGCCCAATCTCTGCGGCCCTCTATATATGAAGGTGTTATCGGTCAGTTAATGAGGGTTTACACTTGAGCCGGCTCTGAGCATGGTCCCAGCCTTGCTCAACATTCCCATGGAGCTGAGCCGAGCCACGGCTGAGCCGCTCACGCGTGCGTCTTGCTAGCAACCGAGCGGCTTCAGCCTGAGCGGAGCTGTGTCGGAGGCTGAGCCAGAGACGAACCCCGGCGGCGAAGAATTCGGCGCAAAATTTAAACCAAAAACAAAATGAAGCGAAACTGCAACGACACTTGAGTGGCACCATCTGTAGAGACTCTTAGGCGGCATCGATCTCGGTTCCACTGAGTTGACATCATCAGACGGGTCATCTTGTGAGCGCCTTGACGCATCTCAGGACCCATTGCGCGCACGGGGGCGTGTGGCGCGTGCTCCGGATGAGATGGAGCGCACGGCGCGTTCAGTGGGCACGGGTACAAGCGATGCACGCGACAGTCGTGAGCATCGCTTCAGCGCACCGGTTGAGTCTAAGAGGTATTCTCACAAGCAAGTTGGACTCCAGCTACAGCTCGCCGGCTCGCCTCCGTCACTTTGACTGCTACCGTCCGCAATGTCGTTGCCACGGTCACCTTTGGTGACACCGCTGCCCGTGCTCATCAGCCGTGTCCGTCTCGCTACCCCTTGAACCACTTGACCCCTTTGCTGCTCTCACACAGGCGGATGTCCTCACATCCACGAGCACGCCGCTCTAGCAGCAGCAGCAGCAACCTGCAGCCATCAGCAGTCAGCAGTCAGCAGCAGCAGTCAGCAGCAGTCAGCAGCAGCAGTCAGTAGCAGCAGCAGTCAGCAGCAGCAGTCAGCAGCAGCAGCAGCAGTCAGCAGCAATCAGCAGCAGCAGTCAGCAGCCATCAGCAGCAGCAGTCAGCAGCAGCAGTCAGCAGTCAGCATCAGCAGTCAGCAGCAGCAGTCAGCAGCAGCAGTCAGCAGCAGTCAGCAGCAGCAGTCAGCAGCAGCAGTCAGCAGCAGTCAGCAGTAGCAGTCAGCAGTAGCAGTCAGCAGCAGCAGTAGCAGTCAGCAGTAGCAGTCAGCAGCAGCAGTAGCAGTCAGCAGTAGCAGTCAGCAGCAGTCAGCAGTAGCAGTCAGCAGTAGCAGTCAGCAGCAGCAGTAGCAGTCAGCAGCAGCAGTCAGCAGCAGTCAGCAGTAGCAGTCAGCAGTAGCAGTCAGCAGCAGCAGTAGCAGTCAGCAGTAGCAGTCAGCAGCAGCAGTAGCAGTCAGCAGTAGCAGTCAGCAGCAGCCCGCAGTAGCAGTCAGCAACAGCAGTCAGCAGTAGCAGTCAGCAGCAGCAGTCAGCAGGAATCAGCAGCAGCAGTCAGCAGTAGCAGTCAGCAGTAGCCAGCAGCAGCAGTCAGCAGCAGTTAGCAGCAGCAGCCAGCAGCAGTTAGCAGCAGCAGTCAGCAGCAGTAGCAGTCAGCAGTAGCAGTCAGCAGCAGCCAGCAGTTAACAGCAGCCAGCAGCAGCAGCCTTAACAGCTTTCTGCTTGAACAGCGCGGCCACTTGAGCCATCTTGTTCACGACCACTGCGCAGCGCCCTCCGCGTGACGAATGGCGAGAGGAGACGCGATGCTGTGACGGCTCGGGAGGGTTCGCGCTAGAACAACACCAAGTCCACTTGTGGCCAGCGCTCCCCCCCCCCTCCCTCCCCACGTGGTGTACAATCGACGCTAGGCTCTCACGATTGTTGCCCTTCCACCGCACCCTCCTCCACATTAGCACGGTTGGCTACGTGCGAAAGGAGTTCAAACGTGCCTCGGGATTCCTCGCCACGAATACGCGCAGGGCCATGGGAGGTGAATCCTCCGAGCAATGTGATGGTGACCAGGGATGAAGACCAGAAGGCAACCCGCTGTACGTGTTGATGCGCTGGGTTACCACGCATCACTGAACCATTTCGCCCACTTTGATTGCAACTCTGATCCGCGATCGCCTGCGGTGGAAAGGGACGCGCGGTGTCACGGGCTTGCCACAAAACCTGCCCGGCGTGTTGGACTCGAGGTTCGTTCGGAAGTATTTGGATTCATCGTAAATGAGTGCTCATTGCGATTCATTATCGACCAGAGTCCAATCAGAGTCAGGATGAATCACACTTAAAAGCCGTTATTGATAATACGAGTGTAGCTGGGAGGCTTTTTTACGTATCAAAAATCTGTTTAATGTCAACGCTTTACAGATGCTTTGACGCCTATTAAAAGACTTTCCGATCAAATGTTTACATTCGCATCGAACCGCTGTCAATGTTCTGGCAACTTCGGCGTCTCGCTACGCGGCGCCGTCATCGCACGCCGCCTCGCCGGCTCGCGTGACGATGGCACCGTGGAGTTGCTCGTCCCGCACGAATCGTCGCTTCCACGTGGGGCTCTTGCTGGGCCACTGCTGGCTGAGAAAACAAAAAGAAGACCCCGCCGCTGGGGCAGTGAGGACGTCTCGGCGCGAATGGGCGGAGCAGAGCCACCGTGGCCGCGAGGAGGAGAGGAGAGGCGAGGGAGCGGTGGAGATTTTGCGCGACATAAGAGCTACTCCGTCGAGTTGCAAAGAGAAGTATCGAATTAACTCTCACCTCTCTGTGTGTGTGGGTGTAAAGTAAATGGAACCCATTCAATGCTTCGGAGATCTGCTCTGGATCTTAAACTTTCCCACACAAGGTGGGGCTAACACGGGGTAACCTTAGAGCGCCGGTGGCATTGTGCTTGCACTGCACAATGCCGTGGCGCTCCTCAATGACTCCACACTCGATGGACTTGCCTGGTCGCTGTGTGAATACGCAAACCTGGATAGAGAAAGACCCAAACAATCAAAACCCAGCTCTGCTCTCCTTGGCGTCTTCACGCCACGAGTGGACGCGGTTCATAAAGGGAGGATGGAATTCATATATATGTGTGCGTGTGTGTGTTCGCGAAATTCTAATTATATCGGCTTCGTGAGATGAGACGAATACACATTCTCTCTGGAACTCTCACAGTGCGCAATGCAATTACCTCGCCAGAAGTACAGCCCCTGGGAAACGGATTCACGGAACGAATGCTCAACTCCCCTTCAGCTGTGGCTTGTGTCGCAGCTGAAGGGGAGTTCAGCAGTAGTGGGGAAGCCGTACCGGGCAGCACCCCACACGTGGTTTCATCACTGCTGGGCATTGGCGGCCACCACTGGATTACAGACCACGTGCACAGCCACCACCGCATGGCAGTTGGTGGCTGTGCACGTGGCCTGCAGTCCAGCACTGTGGAGGGAGCGACGGTTGTTGTGAAACACAAATGTTGTGAAACTCCCCTAGCGTGGCGTCTAAGGTGCCCATACCCTGGCTCGCACTTGTAATAATTATAAACCGCGAATTGGCTGAACACATCTTCAAGAACAAATCCAAATGCAGGAGTCTCCTGAAAAAAAGTATCCTGGATAAACAAGAACATGCCCAAAGCAACTTTCCAAAAGGTTGTCCTTTTCACTTGCTCTGCACACAACGTGTTCGTATTTATAACTTGCGGAGAGGGGTGGGGTGGGGGGGGGGTAGGCATCGTGCCATCGATGTACCAGTCAATACCAGTCCGTCATGGAGCTCTGTGAATGCCTGCGAGTAGTGGTCAGGAGGGACGAGACACAGGCTACGACGTTGACCCCCCCCCCCCCCCATGATGGTTTCAGCGCCTTGGCCATGCCCATGCAGCAAAGGTCGCAAGCAGAGAAAATGGTGTCATGGTGTGGCCCTGCCTGAACCATCGATGTACCTCAAACAATAATCGTCGAGATCACATAGAGACCTTTCCCAGCGTGTTGAAGGCAACTGGTGCGTCGCGGTGTTGAGATGTTAGCTCCCTCGCCTGGTATGCAAGAGGTCCTTGGGTTCGATCCCAGAACCCTGACGCCTGCTGTATATTTGGAGTTTGCATGTTCTCCCCGTTGTCACGTGGATTCTTTGTCCAGGTCCTGTGGGGGTTTCCCTCCACATTTAGAAACGTGCGCGTAGAGTAGTCGGCCGCTATAAATGCACCACGTGATAAGCCACTTGGCTGAGCTATCATTCGTGGGGCAGGTCGCTTGTGAAACAGAGCTGTTGTAGCTTTAGTGGGCCTTACTTTAGTCAAATAAAAAAAACGTTAGTTTCGTGATGCTGCCGTGCAGGACCCTCCCTCGTCCTCAGCAAGTCACGCGTGAGATGATATCCGTCTGCTATTCCGTTTGGCTTTGCCCCAACCTCGACTGCTCGTCAGCAGTAAGGACACGAGGCGTCCTCCATTCGCAGCACGTGGCGACTCGGACAGCCCTCGCAGAGACGGCGTCTTCGCGTGTCGCGACGCTGCGGGAGCTGCAGAGGCTCACGGGACCTCACAGGCGCAGACTTCAAATCTGCGCACCGCACCATTGTCGTTTTGGTTGAGATTTGTGTTTTGAGTATGTCCTCCTTGACGGCGCTGATTAGACTATCATCGTTAGTTGTATGTAATGTTGAGCTTCTTTCGCACCGTACTTAGCCAAAACGTGCTCATCGCAGGTGCGGGGCGAAGGACAACAAACTGAACACAAAAGGCAGTACTAAACAAAATGCATTTTCAAACAATGTTTAAAAGTGCGCTGGCTTCCTAGTATCGGAAGCAAGAGCGTTCCAGACGGCCGCCGAAGCGCATCTGACCACCGCCTTTGTTCGACGTCCAGCCAACATCCGCTGCTGCGAGGATGGCCCCGAGTTGGCGCGATCGTGGTGGTTGATGCTGCTCGAGGAGCATCAGCGAGGCGTTGCGGTCCGCTCGCGGCGAGCCAACGTTGCGTGTAATGAGCGCGATCTCACGATGTACTCGGTGCGGCAAAAACCGAAATCCAACGCAGCTCAAACGTTTCTGCCAAATCTCCGCCTCCTGCGACGACCTCCGCCTCTCAAGAGGCTCGCGAAAAGATCCTCGCCTGCGATGGGCGGGGAGCGAGAGGCAGCTGCACATTCTCAGCTGGCTGGGATTGTCTCCCTCCGTCACACAAACACACGCGGATGCCTCCTCCGTCAGCCTCAAGCACAAACAAACAAACAAACGCACACACGCGCGCGCGCGCGCCGTCTTCGAAATGTGCGTGTGTGGTTTTTTTTTCTCTCCGGAGTACTAGCCATGTTGGTCTGTGTCTCTGAAGTGCACGGGCAGCCAGGTGAGGTGAACGCAGTGGCGTGCACAACGATGTTCAACTGGGGAGCAACAGAGGCTGTGACCGCGGTGCTAGGCCACCTCGTGCGCCAACCATCGCTTTCACCTTTAACAACCATCACCTGTACCACTCACCTGTAACAACCATCACCTGCACCACTCACCTGTAACAACCGTCGCCACTCACGTGTAACAACCATCACCAGCACCACTCACCTCTATCAACCATCACCACTCACCTGTAACAACCATTACCACTCACCTGTAACAACCATCACCTGCACCACTCACTTGTAACAACGATCACCACTCACCTGTAACAACCATCGCCACTCACCTGTAACAACCATCACCTGCACCACTCACCTGTAACAACCATCACCTGCACCACTCACCTGTAACAACCATCACCACTCACCTGTAACAACCATCACCTGCACCACTCACCTGTAACAAACATCGCCACTCACCTGTAACAACCATCACCTGCACCACTCACCAGTAACAACCATCACCTGCACCACTCACCTGTAACAACCATCACCACTCACCTGTAACAACCATCACCTGCACCACTCACCTGTAACAACCATCGCCACTCACCTGTAACAACCATCACCTGCACCACTCACCTCTATCAACCATCACCTGCACCACTCACCTGTAACAAATATCGCCACTCACCTGTAACAACCATCACCTGCACCACTCACCTGTAACAACCATCACCTGCACCACTCACCTCTATCAACCATCACCACTCACCTGTAACAACCATCACCTGCAGCACTCACCTGTAACAACCATCACCACTCACCTGTAACAACCATCACCTGCACCACTCATCTGTAACAACCATCACCACTCACCTGTAACAACCATCACCTGCACCACTCACCTGTAACAACCATCACCAGCACCACTCACCTGTAACAACCATCACCACTCACCTGTAACAACCATCGCCACTCACCTGTAACAACCATCACCTGCACCACTCACCTGTAACAACCATCACCTGCACCACTCACCTGTAACAACCATCACCTGCACCACTCACCTGTAACAACCATCACCTGCATCACTCACCTGTAACAACCATCACCTGCACCACTCACCTGTAACAACCATCACCACTCACCTGTAACAACCATCACCTGCACCACTCACCTGTATCAACCATCACCTGCACCACTCACCTGTAACAACCATCACCACTCACCTGTAACAACCATCACCACTCACCTGTAACAACCATCACCTGCACCACTCACCTGTGACAACCATCACCTGCACCACTCACCTGTAACAACCATCACCACTCACCTGTAACAACCATCACCACTCACCTGTAACAACCATCACCTGCACCACTCACCTGTAACAACCATCACCTGCACCACTCACCTCTATCAAACCATCACCTGCACCACTCACCTGTAACAACCATCACCTGCACCACTCACCTGTAACAACCATCACCTGCACCACTCACCTCTATCAACCATCACCACTCACCTGTAACAACCATCACCTGCACCACTCACCTGTAACAACCATCACCTGCACCACTCACCTGTAACAACCATCACCTGCACCACTCACCTGTAACAACCATCATCACTCACCTGTAACAACCATCACCAGCACCACTCACCTCTATCAACCATCACCTGCACCACTCACCTGTAACTACCATCACCTGCACCACTCACCTGTAACAACCATCACCTGCACCACTCACCTTGCACCTGCGGTTGTGTCGCTTGTGGCGGCCGTCTGCCCTCTGTGCCCTCCTCAATTCGCCAACTTAAGGAAATCGTCACATTATGGATTGCATCAAGGCCATAACGTTCAGCGACCACCACCACCGTCTTGTCTGTATGAACAACACCCATAGGGGTCAGCAGCCACAGCTGAACGTTTACATTTGAATTATACCAGACCATTCTTCGCATGCAATGCATGAAAATGTCGCGGTCAAATGTTGGTCACTGGACATGTAACAGCATGTAGCTGTCAAGCAGGAGGCTCCGGCATGTAATTTTTTCATCTTTCTTTTAAAACTGCAATGCAATAATGATGTAGTTACAATGAAAGCCTTTTTTGCCGACTACATTATTAATTGTGTCACTTTCTGCAGTGGCCTGCCGAGTGATGGCTCCTGTTTGTGTCGTGAGTTCTCTCGCCCACGTGGCCTCCTCTCTGTGCAGGGTCTCTGGCAGCCAGCGCCTCCTGGATCTCGTCCCCTACCCACAGTGCCCTCGTCCCATTGCCGGGTGAAGCTAGCGCGGGGCCTCAACATGTGATGTTATTAAGGGGTCCTAAATTAAAAAAAAACAACGTAAATATTAAACCACGAATTATTTACTTGCACAGTAAAGTAATTGTATTTTTTCATTTGCTATAAAGCCGGATAATACGAGAAATCGCTAACCTTAAACAGCCAGTCGTTCGTAAAAGTTGAAGGCAGTATAGTACTATAGTAATAGAGTAAGTGCAGAATCACTGAACCGGAATTGATCGCTTGAAAGCATTTAGCGCGGTGACCTTGAAAGTGCGGGGCCCGTAGCATTTATAGCCAGAACTATACATGTAGTAGCTACATATGTAGCTACTACATATG